ACAACAACTCCCCATTGCCGCACAGTATTACGATTAACCTCGGCACAGCGCAGAATGTGAGCGGCCTTGCAGTCTGGCCACAAAAAATTGAAGATGGTTGGATTGTAGCACATGATGTCTACCTGAGTTCCGACGGAAACAACTGGGGACAGCCTGTCGCTCATGGGACATGGTGGCCTGATTCCACCGTGAAGATGGCTATCTTCGAGCCTCAGCAAGTGCAGTACGTCCGAGTCGTTGCACTTTCATCATCAGCCGGAGACAACGCAATCAGTATTGCCGACCTGCAGATTTGGTCCGCCCAAAATATTCCTATCGCACCAGGGGGTAAGGCCCTAAATGAAGTTGGAGCTTGGGGGCCAACCATCGACTTCCCTGTCGTGCCCGCATCCGCTGCAGTCGAGCCTAGTTCAGGGAAAGTCATCGTTTGGTCCTCATATCGGAAGAATCAGTACGGAGGGACATCCGGCGGCTTGACACAGACTGCTATGTGGGATCCGAATACTGGGGAGGTCACGCAGCGTGAGGTTTCCGATACTGAGCACGATATGTTTTGTTCTGGCATTTCAATGGATATGAACGGGCGGATTATTGTTACGGGAGGAAATGACGACTCTATGACCAGTATTTACGATTCCTTTGCCGACACCTGGCATACAGCGGCACAGATGAATATCGAGCGTGGGTATCAGGCGTCAACTATACTTTCGGATGGAAATATGTTTGTCCTTGGGGGTTCCTGGAATGGTCCGCAGCTCACGAACAAGAACAGCGAAGTCTACAACGTAGTTGCAGACACCTGGACCGAACTTCCCAACGCCGGCTCAAGCTTTATGCTAACTAATGATAACCTCGGTCCTTACCACCAGGACAACCATGGCTGGATATTTGGCTGGAAGAATCTCTCTATCTTTCAAGCAGGCCCCAGCCATGGGATGCACTGGTACTCTGCCGAAGGTCAAGGGAGCGTGACAGACGCAGGACAACGAAGCACGGACTATGACCAAATGTGTGGCAATGCGGTTATGTTTGATGCAGCTAAGGGAAAGATCCTCACCTTTGGAGGGTCTCCTAATTACGAGGATTCCACGGCTACAACGAATGCAACTCTCATCACTATCAGTGATCCTAACACCATGCCAGATGCTGTCAAAGCTGGTGGAGATATGCTCTATAGCCGCACTTTCCATACCTCGGTGGTCTTACCTGATGGAAGCGTCTTTATCACTGGTGGTCAGGCACATGGGCTCCCATTCAATGAAAGGACTCCACAATTGACACCAGAGCGTTATATTCCAGCGGATAACACGTTTATCGAGCAGTTCCCTAATAATATCGTCCGGGTGTACCATAGCTGGTCCCTCCTGCTTCCAGACGCTACAGTGATCAACGGTGGTGGCGGGCTCTGCGCCAACTGCTCAGCCAACCATTATGACGCACAGATCTTCAAACCTCCGTATTTATTCGACCAGAACGGAGGGATGGCTTCGCGCCCGGTAATTCAGAGTGCCACACCTAATGCTAAATATGGCGCCCAACTTACAATTGTGGTCAATGCGCCCATCGCTGGTGCCTCTTTGATCCGTTATGGCGCCACTACACACACCGTGAACACTGATCAGCGTCGAATAGAGCTAGAGCTCCAACCCGCCGGTGCCAATACATACACTGCAATTATCCCGAATGATCCTGGTATTGCACTTCCCGGCTACTATATGCTGTTTGCTCTGGATCAAAATGGAGTTCCTAGCGTTTCAAAGAACGTCCAGCTTACGGTGTAGGTAAGAAGGGGATAATACATATTGCAGGATGTTGACACGGAATGGTGGACTTGCCAAAGAATCGAGGATATGCGGATCTAAAACACAAAAAGTCTTGAGTTTGGAGCGCTAGCTATTCTGTGTCGTAGCCTCTTCTGAGGGGAGAATTTACCAAGAGCATGGGATCATTGGGTGTTGGCGGCACGGTGGGGCGCGATAAACTGTATGCCAATCAGTACTGTCATCTAAAAGGCGCACAGGTCAGGGTGCGGCAGTGTCCGAGTTGAGTCGCAGCGACCATCCAAAATTCAAGGCGGTCGAGAGTTGAAGCTAGGCATATCAACCAAATACATTTATATTTCCATTGAATCTAAGTAGTATGGCGCCTAGCTGCAGTATGCCTCACAGTAATGCAATGTGGACTCCCTCGTCGATCGCGTTTGGGGACCTTATTTCCTCTCCTAGGCTATCATTCATCTTACTCTCAAGTCTTGACTTAGTGTGCGGAAGAACTCATTTCGTCGATTATCAATTCTGTAAGCTCGAAATGCTTCACTGACCAGGTTTGCCTGGTGAGCGTCAGTCGATCTTCCAAGTGGCAGATGCGAAGCGTAGTGAGTTGCGAAAATTCCCAGAAATGGAGAAGAATATGACAGGGCTCCTGTGATTTGAGATAGCGGGAATCGAACCTGAAGACGAGTTCCTGTAGTGCCTTAACAGCCGGATTCTGAGCAAGTACGGCGGACTATTTGTACAACAAGGACTTGTGGTTTTTTTACAATAATTACATCTCACCACACTTACCCTCTCTACAGTTGCACGCACCGCAGTAATATTAAAACAGTAATATCTAATTCTTATATACAAAGGATATCGAATTCTCATATAGTAGGGATATTGAATCGAATAGTATTAATATCGGATCGAATGGTGATATTTTCATTACTGCGGTGCGGAAACAGCTTATTGCAGAATTCAAGTCCAACATAATATTATGCATGTGCGAGTCCGTTCTGATACGTATTGTACACATGGTGTATGGCTAACATTGGAATCAAAGCAGACAGCATGGCTTTTGAAATGATGCTGGTTCAGCCATCCAAATCTTAACATTTGCGCTTAAAATCTTTAATAGGGCATGTCAACTGCGCAACCTCGGCTGGCCCCAGCCGTCTCAGAGTCTTGTTGTTAACTAAGTTTTCCGTGCTTAAGCCATCAGGAAGTGTAATATGTTTGCCGTTTCCTGGCTGATTGAACCATGGCCGGGCATTTCCCAGGTCAGCCCAAAAATCACTACAAACCTCAAAGACATGATATACTCCACTGCCTGTATCGCACAGGTTCCTGGGAGGGATCGAGCGGTTTGGCATAGGGTCACAAATAGGTGCTAAATATTTACCGTCCGGAGCGCCGACTCGGTCAAGAAGCATGCCGCTCTTAAACAAGGTACCATTTCTTTTCTCGTTCCCACAATTGTCAATTGTGAATCCGTCCCCCGGAGGGTTTCGGTATTTTCCATTTGGTGCGTTGGCCCACTCGTTAAGATACTGCTCAGGACCTAGCCCTCCGAAACGGTCATAACCGTTTAGCATCTGTGAAACCATGCGCGGTTGAGTCGGCAGCGCCGTCGGGCCTAGCCTCGGATCACTGCACCTGCAGTTGGTATGAGTTGGCGTTGGCGACTTTACTGGACACGACGGGGTGCAAGTAGTTGGCGGTTCCATCTAGTGAGGTCAGTCACTTTTCTTCGCTATTCAATCTCGAAGGCTAACCGGAGCAGGGTCCGGTGCGAGATTCATTTGGCCAATTTGAGAAAGGACATAGCAAGGTAGAAAGATAAGAGCAAGAAGCGTAGGTAGCATGTTGATGGCTCAATCTCTGTATAACTTTATCGATACAAGTTATTTTTCGTTGGAGATTAATTTGGTCAAGCTTGAGATATGGGCGATGTCTTATACATGCTCTCCTATCGAGCCGGTCCCTTGTGATTAGCGAATCTGACGGTAGTTCATACACCCATCCGTACCCGATTGCAGATCATCGATGGCATTCATCCGCATAATACTAGGTAAGGTAGTACTCAGAGGTAATGAATGACGTCTCGAATCCAAAGTAATGGCCGCTTGCGGGATTTGGCTCAAAGACTCTATACGGCTGTTGATCATAATGAGTATGATCAAAGCTACGCGTAATACAGCTGGAGTATGCGCAATAAGAGTGAGTTCCCCCTTCACGCACCTAACGCCTAGACCGCTCCTCTTACGTCGAACGGCGTATGCAACGGAGCTTAAAAGTATGGAGACATTGATCGTTTTTGCAGTAGATGCCAATCATTCTATATGACTATGGCTTGATAATCATACTTTTGAACAACCGTACATGACCCGCGCCTAAAGAGCATTATACTTGAGTGTGGTATATCTGCACTCATACATGCCAGACAAAGTCCTTTGGGAACAGCAACGTACTTTACACCTCTTGATACATAAAACGGAGGCTCTAGTTACTAGGACTAATACTACTCATGATAATAATGTAAGGACTTAAGTAGTCTTAAGGATAACCTCCTTTCCAGTACAGAATTACAAGGTGTCATCGAACGACCGATGGAAAACCTTTAATTATTTGGAATTGCAGTCGCAGGCTCCAATGGAAACATTAACTTTCCTATGCGCATAAGCCATGTTGGACAGCATCGCATGAGGATTGAACTACCACAGACTAAAATACCCGTACTTATTAATTGGGACTGCAAAAGACGTCTTCCCCGTCGTAGCCGCTCATGCTATTTTTATAGTTGTGATGACGATTAGACGCATTATCTCACGGATGATATATTATTTGGCAGGTGTCATGAACGGTAGGGGTTTCAGTGCTTATCATTCTAGGTCCGTTCCGTTGGCTGCCGCCGGATATCTGGTTCAATTCGCGTCAGTGAATAATCCTGCACTTTAATATACACTAATTCAGATAAGGATGCAGTCCTGAGAACCGGATCTAGTCCACCTTACAATCTTCAGAATGACCTCTTCCACTTGGCTTGCCGGAACCCGGAACTCTACTAGGCCGTCTCTGTGGATGTCACAGTGGCTTCAGTAATGATACGGCCTAGTTGGTTTTACTAGGAGTTAATGAATCCACTGCCAGTGTAAGGTTACATCCTAATATACTTCCCAAAGTAGGCTACATTTCGTAATATGCCGTACGAGATTGGCCTCTAGCAACCAAGATGCTAGCAAAATGCCGCACGGCCCGCGCCGGCTTAGGCTAGCCGCAAATTGCATAGTTACGGTGGACTATAGCTACGATGTGGACTTCTGGTATTTTTACAATGATTAGACGCCACCACTCACCCCGATAAATAGTTGCACGCACCGCACCATTAACTATCAAATAGTTATGTTACTTAGTAAATTAGTAATATATTAATATTAAAACACGACTACACGACTTAGAACAGCAAATCTCCGCCGTCAAATGGGACTTCAGGCTCTGGGAATAGCACAAATCCCAGTCAGAAACGGCAGAAAGCAGCAGATGTCACTCCTTTCCTACTTGACCAGCTCTCAGCCATTGTCAGGGTTCTCCCTCTAGTGTCGATCTCGCTCGAGCAGCTCCTCTGCCTGTGGACGGATATTCCTACAGTGGCCATGGCATCCACTACATCTACCACGGGCACCAAGTCGCTGTATGAGAGGTTGTTCTTCACGGGAAACCTAAAGAGGAATGATCCAGTGTTCGGTCCTAATGCCAATAGGGATTACTTCACAGGTTCTCCACAAAAGCTGTCAGACAACCTGCCTGTGGTGATGGCAGCCTTCAAGGTGAAGGCAGACGATATCCGGTATCTATTAGGCCTGGTGCCAGATGCGTTTGGCACACCAAATCCCAGCCCGTTGCAGGATGTCCTCAGCATCCCTGTTCTCTCACAGATCTACCGGGCAGCACTGTTGTCCCAGGTCCTGGGCATCAAGCTCTACGACATCAGCCGGGCGATCCAGGGCTTTGGACCTGCCTTCAAGTCTACTATTACACTTTATGACTTCATCCACTAGTGGGATATCATGGAGTCGCTAAACTTCCCCTGGGAGGAGCTGCACTTCATCATCAATGAGATCAGCACTCCAGACAATCCACTCAAACATACTGCCATGTCGCTCCTGGGCACAGCGAAGACCATCAACGACAGTATCAACACGATCAAAGCTCAGTACATGGAGGTCACTGACCCGTCACATGCAAACATGCAGTGTACCAACAACATCATTAAAGCAAGACTGGCCCTGGTCTGCAACGATGATACAGCCGCAAAGATCCTGGACTTGCTCAATGGCACCAACACCTTCAGCACAACCAAGGCGCCTATCGTGCCGGAAACAGTAGCCGCTGCCTTCACGAAGAGTGTCACCAAGGCAGTAGTGAGTGGGAAGTTGACCTACATCCCATCAATGAAAGGGGGCAAGGCCCAGGTGCTTTGCAAGGGCATTATGACAGCCAACAAGATGGAGGCCGCCCACGAGGTAATATACTTGTTCAATAAGGCAATGGCAGTAACAGTGCTGGCTACAAGGGGAACCCCGGCGTCCAAAATACTAGTCTCAGCTAAAGAACAGGTCGTACGGGAGATGAAGACAGCATGGTCAGACGCATTGGCTGCATGATTACTCATTTCAGATCAATTTCCATCCTTTTGTCCATTCAGAATGTGTACCTGACCAATTATTCAGACTTACGGCGCAGCCAAAGAGTCTTTTTATGGACTTATTTGCAAGCATATTCAACACGGCGACAGTTGATCTTCAGAGCAATCCCTCAACGACGACAATCCTAGCTGGTGATGTGGACAAAAACACAACAGACCCACCTGTTGATGCGAAGAGACCATCTGAAAAGCAGTTCTTCTTTATGCAGCACTTTATCCCCTATCTCCAACAGACCCTGGCCCAGAACTTCATCCGCGACACTATCATCTCAGATGTTGGCTCCCAAGACAGGACTCTAGCACAGACAATTCTCGAAAACGTCACAATCCATGGAAAAGTCAAATTAGATTACCTACTGGAGCTGCTGGATCCCTTTAGACAGGACCGGAACAACTTCCAGGGCTATCTCATCGTGCCATGCAGCGACAGCTACGCCTTCATTTACCCAGACAACTCGGATACAGGGCCACCGCCCATCACACTCAACTACAAGGTCTTGACCTGGACCATCTACAAGGATGACACAGCACAGCAATACTGGGCTACGGACGCCAGTCAAGCTGTTCTTAAAGCTGGTACTCCGTACACGGCCTCATTCGTGAACCTCAACCCATCGTTACTGGAGTGGAAGCCGTCCTCAAATTTCCGCGCTGCTGTGCCCGGGTCAGTATAAATGCCTAAGATTGCCTTGAATCAGGCTTTGGAGGTCTACAACCGCCTGAAGATGACAGCCATCTTGGTGAACCACTTCCCGCTGACGGCTGACAAGGTGATCTATATCATCAAGCACAAAGGAGACTTCGGCAGCATGGACTTTAGCTCCCTGTCAATAGCACAGTGGAAACGGATCCAGGCTTTCATGGCATTCCAACAGTCACTGCCCTTAAGCGCATGTCTCCAGCTCATCAACCTCTTCAAATGGTGCACGCAAAATCCAACGGCAGTGGGGAGCGCGCTAGCGAGCCAGATCTCACTTGCGACGACCTGGTTGGCCGGCGATATCAAGGCCATGCTGGCGCGTGTCAACTTCTCCATTGGCACGGGCAATGACTTTCGCAACGAGATTATTCTCGTCCGGCTCAGCAAGCTGATCGTCCTGAGTGGTACGCTGGGCATTGATATTCCCAGGCTCTTCCACTGGTCCCTGCCACTGGGGACGGCCGCAAAGGACTATTTTAGGCTTGTCAGCATCAGCGCAGATATCGTGAAGGTCATCCGCTCCAAGCTCGACGCGATGAGTTGGAATGATGCCATCCAGCCGCTCAACTACGTGCTCCATGGGCAGCAACAAGATGCCCTGATTGCGTACTTGCTGGTGCAGGACGAGGTCCGCAAGCAGGGCATCATCAATGCAGACAGTCTGTTTGAGTTCTTTCTCATTGACATCCAGATGACGCCGCTGGTTGAGACATCGCGGATCAAGCAGGCCATCGCCAGTGTGCAGGTCTTCATCCAGCGGTGCTTCCTCGGCTTGGAGAAAGACGTCAACCCAGCGCAGCTGGACCGCGCTAGATAGGACTGGATGAGCAAATATCACGTCTGGGAAGCTAACCGCAAGATCTTCCTGTACCCAGAAAACTAGATCAACCCAACATTGCGCAACGATCGTTCGCCGTTCTTCGTCACCTTCCAGGCGGCGCTGATGCAGAAGGATCTCACGCCGGATATCATCTCATCAGCGGTGCGCAGCTATCTGTACAGCGTCAATGAAGTCTCCAACCTAGAGATGACGGGGCTGTATATCAAAACGCTTGAGTCTCACATCTTAGTTCGGACTGAGACCACTGTCACCACGGCCATGACGACGACAACGCTCACAACGATGGATCCAGACACCTCAACGACCTCGACGACGGCTCCGGTGACAAATAGGGCCAGCTTGGAGCAAACAATCACAACAGCGAAGACGCAGATCTACCTGTTTGCGCGGACGACAACCTCACCTTACAGCTACTACTACACCAGCTACAGCAACGGTTGCTGGACTGCGTGGTTGAAGATAGACATCGAGATCCCCTTCTACACAGTGCAGAACGAGCAGGGCCAGGACGTCGCTGTGGGAGCCTATATAACTCCTATCATCATTGGTGGACGCCTGCTTGTCTTCATCCCTCAGCTCACCAAGAAGACTAGCGCGAATCCCATGCAAAGCAGCCAGTCCACACAGACACTGGGCAACTTGACCCAGGACCAGCTCAAGCCCGTCAAGCAGTGGGAGATCAATATGAGCTGCACGGAGCTTCTCAACAGTAATTGGACGCAGCGTCAGGTCTGTTCCGAGGGTACCATGGTGTTAAATAGGCTTGGCTTTGCCAAGAACCCAGACAGCACACTCCAGTACCCCCAGGTGCCAGATCCTCTGTGTCCCATCAACAGCTTCTCCTTCATTGCCTCTGAGGTCCTGGCCCCGGATGCGACTAATCCCTTGAACAGGGTGCCCGTGGGCGTGTGAGTCATTGCATCCTGATTCACGATCCCCACCCTCCAGAAGCCGATCTTCATCCGTGGGAGGGGAGTATTCGTGGGTATCACCAAGTGGGACTTCATTGGCAGGCATCTAAAATACATTAGGCAGCGTTGCAGATGCTCTCGGACAACCTGGCCTTCCAGCCCACCGTTAGCACTGACTACACTACCCCGGCACGAAATATCTTCTTGCCACAGGAACAGATGGAGAGTATACAGTTGTGATTTGGCTACCAGCTCGGAGAGGCCAGCAATTTGGCCATCCTACACCCCTTCACTGCAATAGATGACCTGGCCAGCGGGGCTGGGCCCCGGCTAGACGCCTTTTTCAATGCACCGATGGTGGCCAAGGGTAAAGTGCACTCCCCCTTCACGCCCAAGGTGGCTGCCCAGGGTCGTGGGATTCTCATCACCAAGACGGTCGATCCGGTCTCTGGAAACACAGTACAGAGCATGCAGCTGCTGTATCACAAGCTCATCCACCAGATAATGTCGGCTGCGAAAACACTGGGCCCAGTCACATCGGCCCTGTTGCCGCTGTATTCCTATCTCGGTGGCTTGCAGGGCCTGGCTCCGGGACATCGGGGGTCTAACCTGGCCGCGTTGGAGCCATTCCCAGGTATCAATACAACGACCGGACAGCTGAACAACGCTGGAGGGTCCGTCGCTGGCCTGATGCCGGCAATGAGTGACCTGGACGAGGTGTTTGGCGGACTTGTCACCTCGGAAGACCAGTCGACAACAGGTTGGTTTAATGAGCTGTCCACGCCCTTCTCGCTGTACAACTGGGAGATCGGGCTACATGCGCCGATGCTGCTGGTGGACTGGCTGCTACAGATGCAGTAGTTCGACGCCGCTCTCAACGTCTGCCATTACATCTTCAACCCGCTGGTGCAGAGCACAGTGATGGATCCCAAAGAATTCTGGACCTTTGCGCCGTTCAAGCGAGTCGTCACCTAAACGACGGAGCAGGTATTCTTGAACTTTACGGCGGGACAGTTCTCATATGTGAGAAGGGCGTTGGGCCTGACATCTCTTTCCTCCTCTCTTCCTTCCCCCTTCCTGTCTTCTCATTTCTCAGAAACGAACTATAAACTAACCACCCATGTTGTTCTAGACAAGACGTATCCCACTGGCGCGACGCTCCATTCCAGCCGTATCTCATTGCACGATCCCGGCCGCAGGCGTACATGATGTGGGTGGTGATGAAATACATTGAGATCCTGATTGCCTACGGAGAATACTACTTCCGGCAGAATACACTGGAGACTATTCCTGAAGCCATCTAGATGTACATCCTGGCCTCGCACCTGTACGGGCCTCGCGGACAGGTCATCCCGCGGCCAACGCCGAAGAAGATGTACACGTACAATCAGCTAGCTACTAAGTTTGATGCCTTCTCAAACGTGATGGTGCAGATGGAGGAGGCCTTCCCCTTCAGCAACCAGACACCGCTGCCTGTGGGCAAGCTGCTGGATGATTCCAGCACGCCACTAGCCAATGTCTTTGGCTTTGCCGGCATACACTTCTTTGCTATCCCCAGCAACCCGAACGTGGCGGCTCTGGGGGTTATGATTGATGACTGGCTGTTCAAGATCTGCAACTCGCAGGACATTAACAGTGTCTTCTGCCAGCTGCCGCTGTTCGAGCCGCCCATCGACCCGGCTCTGCTGGTGTAGGTGGCCGCGTAGGGGGTCTCGCTGTAGATGGTACTGTAGGACCTCAACGGGCCGATGCCTAACTCTTGATTTCAGCTGCTACTGGCCAAGGCACTCGAGATGGCACAGGAGGTGCGATTGCTGGGCAGTTCACTGTTGGCGACTTGTGAGAAAGGCGACGCTGAGGCACTGAGCGTGCTCTGGTCTAAGCATGACACCAATATGTAGACCATACTTATGGCCCTGAAGAAGCTTACCCTGGATGAGGCTAATAAGACCCTTAAGGCACTTGAGTACAGCCATCATGCCCCCATCAGCCAGCTGTCTTACTACCTACAGTAAGTAGGCGCTGATTTGTCTGGTATACCTGCTGTGGATCAAGAGTTCATTGAACTCAATGCCTGTATTAAACAGCCCATCTCTGTTGGAGGGTTGGAGCTGATCCTCTTGGAGCAGGAGGAGATGAACCAGTACTTGTGCTTAGTGGACCTTAGCAACGGCGTTGCCGTCCTTAAGGTCATCGGCTTGGCCATGAACATCCTGCCTAACTTCTCAGCCCAGTTCATGCTGCTGGGCTGCGGCGGCTCGTCTATGTTCGGCGGCTCCAATCTGGGTGCCTACTACCAGGTAATCGCTCGCGGCGCCAGCATGGCCGTGAGCAATGCGAGCTTCCAAGCTGGTGTGGCTAGATGGCGCTTACAGGCACTGCGGGCGCTGCAGGACCGCATCCTACAGGCCAATATGGCTGGGTATGAAATCTCTAATATCGACAAGCAGATTACGACCAGCAAGGTGCGCATCGCCTTGGCTAGTAAGGATATTGACGTGCAGTAGAAGCAAATTAATCAGGCGCGTGAGATGGAAGACTTTTTGCGCCAGAAATATTTGAACACGGTGCTCTACGCCTGGCTTGAGGCTGCCACACGCTGGCTATACTACAACACCTACACGAAGGCCTATGACCTGGCTAAAAAGGCTGAGAAAGCCTTCTATTTTGAGCGTCTAGCGCTGCAGTCCACCTTGTTCATGCAGTTGGGATACTAGGATGCCTTACGCGATGGCCTCCTTGTGGGGGAAAGCCTCTTCCTCGCACTTAAGCAGCTTGAGGCCTGCTATCTTGAGGATTGTGGCTATAACTACAAGATCACTAAGGATGTCTTGCTCCGCTAACTTAACCTATTAGCTCTGCTCTAGTTGTGCAGCTCTGGCTCCTGCGCCTTTGACCTGCCTGAGGTGCTCTTCGACATGGACTTCCCTGGCCACTATATAAGATGCATCTACTCCGCAGCCGTGACCCTCCCCTGTATCGTCAGTCCTTACACGTCCATAAACAGTACACTGCGACTGAAGGCGCATAAGATCCGCTTCCAGCCCTTGAATGCCTCAGGCTCGGCCTATGTTGAGACCACTGATCAGTCTTCTGCCAATTCAGACCCGCGCTTTACCACCTCAACCGTCCCCATTGCCGCCATTGTCGCCTGCTCTGGATAGTCTGACACAGGTACCTTTAACTTTGAGACCTCTTCTAGCTCCCGGGATCACTACCTCCCCTTTAAAGGCGCTGGCGCCATCTCCTCCTGGTCCTTCTCCCTGCTGTAGCACCCGGACTCCGGCTTCCGCCAGTTTGACTGGCAGTCCATTACCGACCTCGTCCTCTCTCTGCAATACACCTCCATCAACGGCGGCGCCCAGATGATGCAGGGTGCCCAGACGGCCGTCGCGGCTTACCTTAAGCGCATCGACTTTGCCTTATTGGCTGGTGGTTTCTGGGCATTTTTCAATGTACATTATGAATTTGCCTTAGCCTGGATGGCCTTTCTGGCTACTGCTGCGCCTGCTCCTCCCTTGAACCCTTCTTCTATTGATACTCCAACCGCTGTTTCCCTACCTCTTCCTGACCTGAATGACAAACTGCCCGTCTTCGCGGCCTCTCGGCCCGCTGGTTCCGTCGTCGTCTATGACATCTATGTCTTCGCCGACCACTTCCCCGGCCAGCATCTCGCCCTCTGTGCCGCGGGCAAGGATGCCGCCTCTCTGATCCTGGTTGTGGATCTGTTAATTGTTCCCGCCGAGTTGACTGGGTATCAGGTCAAAGGTACCAGTGTGGTAGTTGGGGTTTTGGAGCTGGGACTGGATACGCGGGTGGCAGGCATGGCAGTGCAGACGTTGTGGGCGTGGTTATTGTTCTGGTATATGATGAAGTAGGGAGCAAGTAGTTCTCTCACGAGGTTTAGTTTAGCAGAATATTGCGAGTTCAGAGTGGATAAGAGAATCCCAAGGAGAGGAGTGACCGTGTGGCCTCTTTTTGGCCAGTATACCATACTAGCTTGTCATCTACATCCATCTCTATGGCAAGGCGGTTCTTTTCTGGTCCTTCATATTGCATTTCATCTCTGCACTGCGCTCGCAGGAAGGCAGACTAACTAAAGAACTTAGAGCGTGTCGGAGGACCGCTGCCCAAAGCTAAGAAGGGGGGATCAGGTCTGCGACTGGCAGATATGAGTTAATTAGTTTCCAATGGATTGAATAAGGACAACTAATATTATCGGAATATACCGATGACGGGAAATCCAAGTCTTGGGTCGGATCTGACGAGGCTTAACTGATAGCAGAGAGCTGAATGGATAACAGCTTTTCTGATATCAAAGCTTGTTGCTAAGTTAATTAGAAGGCAGGCCAGTCTTCAAATCCTGGAAAGACCGCTTCTCAAGTATACAAAGGGGAATATAGCTAGTAAAAGAAATCGTGTTGTATGATAGCTTTGTGATGACTGGATGGGTGACACGCGGTTCAGAACATCCATCTTTAGCTCTACATGATTGGATGAAGAGGAACTAGAGGCAGTCTGCAAGCAGAGAACCTGAGTAGATTGCCCCCGGAATTTACTCCTCTAGATCCCGGAGGCAGAAAATTGACCCTGGGATTCAAGCCAAGGGTTTCAGGAGCAAGTCAGCTCCTAGGGTCAGCCCATGCGTTCCAGACCCGATAGGGTCGTGGACAAGAGAATGAACCTACAGTAATATTTGAAATCAGATATATACTGCCTTCAGTTTCTGGTAGTATTAAAGACTCGCGTCCAGTGACCCTGAATGCAGTTTCGGACATAATGAATAGCACGTCGAAACCACAACAAACATTTTGAAAGTGATGTCGTTCACTGTGCATGATCTTTCCTCTCAGCCACCCAGTAATGTGATGGCCGCCGCCAGTTTTAAAAGGTCGATTAGAGACAGGCAAGCTAGCAGTCAAGTTTTACTTATAGCAGGTGAAATTCCCGTGCTTAGTCCAGGGTTATGTAGGCCCGAGAAGGGCATCCCTTGCGTCATGGGCAGGCACCACACTGTCCGTTTTTCACTTCATCTTTCTCTGATCACGGCTTCGTTCATTTGAATTGAAGGTTAGTTACTATCTGTCTCATCCATGCCTTTCCGAAATCTTTCTCCGGAGGATGTCATCTCTGGAGGCACTAGAATTATGCGAGCGGGGTTGGAGCATGACTGATATCATAATAGCCGCACGGGGATTTACAGTACATGGGCCGTGTTAACTAGTCAATGGCTCAAGGTAATTTCTCGTCGCTGATCTCATCCAAGATCTGGAATAAAACGTTGTCCTGTACTTGGCAGTAATTGAGCTCAGTCTCCTCAACTCCTGGGCATATTCTGCGTCGGAGTTCATCCATATTCCCCTGAGCATTATGTTGATCAAGCATCTGAAATACTTTTGAATTGATCGGTGATCTTGGGGATAGCCACGCCGATGATGGTTTGACCCAGAGCCACCAATAAGACGGCCAGGTAGAGAGCAAGAATAATGACGATCACCTTGGGCAGAGGAGGGTATTCTGACTCCTTTGGCGTCGAGATCTCATCCTTGATATCCTTAACGTCCTTCTCTGGTGCCGTTTCGACATCTGTTGTACTGCTGGCAGCCGTCATTGTCAAAGACCCTTTGCTAAAGCCCACGATTGCAAAACTGGTCTCGAGGATTTTGGCTGAAGATGGTAGCTGGCGAGGCCTGAGCGTTCCAGGCTAGAGTCAGGGGATCGAGAAAAGAATGTTTGCAGTCAGTGCTAGTTAGAAGATACAGCACACCATCCACACTTCGTTTCTCCCTTTCGTAAACATTCAAACGACGCGACGAGGGGAAACATTATTGTAATGATCTATGACGTTTCCATTTTTTTACGAGATCGGACATCGGCGTGTCTTCTGGCCGATTTACGTTGCTTTTCCATCAGACACATAGAAGGCAGCTGTGGCTGGCGCAGTAGCTTGAAGCAAATACGAGTCCGAATTTCCGGATAAGGCAACCAGCGCACCCGAAGGCGTCTGATTAACCTCAGCGCGTCAATTCTCCAGCACAAGTGGACAATATGGAAGCAAGTGCGAGATACCCTTTTTGGACCCTAGCCAAGAATGAGTCACATAAGCACGAGATCCTCTCTGCCTGTTTCGCCTAACCTGCAGCCTGTACGGAGGAGGAGCGAGACTGATGAAAGTACTTTTAGGCCGCGAGGCCACTATTTTCACCTATTTTCTCCCACTTTAGTCGGCGTCTTGGGGCAACTCCCGGAGATCAGGCAAATTCCATATAAATGGGTGAAATAGTTGGTCAAAGGACCCTGAAATCAGTTTCTGCATACCCTGTTAATGCCTGACTAGGTCAAAATTTCGGACCAAGGTTGCCAAACGCGCTCGGGCATCCCCCTATGGATTAGTAGGTACTCGATTCAGTCAATACGGTCCATGGCACGCCTGTCATAGTTGATCAAACTGAGTAGTACAGTGGCAGTTCAAAAGTCTGAATCTAGCAACTGGAGAAAAGGTCTATCTAGATACGATTCGACTTCCTCTCTTTCCAACTCTTTTTCAAAGATCTTTTAAAATGTCTTTCGAATCGTCTTTCTAAATAGTTTAGGCAATATCTCTCAAGTTGTCTTTCACGATATAGCTAATGAGATGATTTGAACTTTGGTCGGGGGTTTCGAAATTATGGAAGCCCACCATCCATCCAAGGCCACCCAATCCGCAAACCTCCGCTGGATACCGCGCTGCTTCATATTCTCAATCGCATGACAGATCATCGCCAATCCAATACCGGGCTTGCGGTGACGACGCATCAATCCCCACACAGCCGATTAAACCGGTATGGGGACAACAAATCTGGTAAAATGCCCAGACTTTATTTAATGATGGGAGGGGGGTTAGCATGAGGGTCCATCCGACCTGCTGGGCTTGGGAGTCGAAGGCAGTCATCACACAACCGGGATAATCCTTGGGATGGAGTGTGATGTAAGTTTCCACCCAACCCTACAGAGAAAAGGCATCTCATTGTTAGCTCGTAAATTTTTTCTCCTTCAGACTCCTTGCGAGGACCAGCAGGACCTTGAGGTTACTGGATAATATGGAATGGCCTTGTTAGGGCCACAACCGCTTTAGCTTGTATGCTAGCAACACGAAAACTCCAGGAAAATGAGGATCAATCATAGTTGCCGCCTGATTTAGTAGTAGTAGTAGAATTAAATTTAATATACCCGTTAAAGGTAGCCGCGATATCGCGAACCAACCAAAGTACCTCAGACCCGCAATAATCTATATTAATACCGACTGGTAGTCTTATTCCGAGACGAGCAAATTCGGAATCGAAACGCCATGTCCGCATCGGCAATATTCAAAAGGCTGGCATATTCCACTACCAAATAACTCTAGAAATGGCCGAAAGAAAAGACAGTACAAGGGGACTAAGCGAAACGGGCAGTTTACTCGTGAAAGCGGAGTTGATTAGTCCCGACCTGCCGGCCTCCATAACTTAAATGGTAAATTGGTATTCTGAAGGTCCGAGATTTGGGGTGGCTTAGCAGCGTAAGCTAGACAGGGGGGCGTTTTAGTTAGCACTTCACTGGACGTATTGCATTAACACAGGCTGAGATACGAGGCTACACCAGGGTGAATAAAACAAGGGTGCGCACGGATTCCCTCCAGACAGTCAATATATAGTCCTGGTATATCAATCCCACGGAAACGTATCCTTTCATATCTTCCAAAATCAATCTCTTGCAACTAGCGGTACAAAATGTCGTCGGGCGTGTGGGCAGATCAACCATATGCACTTATTAAAGAGACTGGTATCTTAACTCGTCTAGATGTGCTGCGAGATCATCCAGCGGTCTCAATGGCTCAAGATATGGCTCTTGCGCACAATGTGATTCTCCGCAGTATCAATGCGTCATATAACCAGTGCCTATCTGTACGGCCTGGGACCCCGGAAGCCACAGACTTCTTGATCTTCAATCAGTGCATCTTCGAATTTGTGAAGACGCACCACGACGTCGAGGAAGAGCACTTATTTCCCGATATTACAAAGCTCACGGGTGTGGCCGGTATCATGGAAGGCAATGTGCAGGAACACCGAGACTTTGAAGCCGGCATGGAGAAGTTTCGCCAGTATGTTTATGATACGCCTGCCGATAGGTACGACGGGACGAAGCTGCAAGCTATCCTTGACGAGTTCGGCAAGCCTCTTGAAAAGCATATGCACAATGAGATATCCACCTTGCTTAATCTTAAAGATTACGACGCGGTCAAATTGAAGGAGGTTATTGCCTCTCTCGGAAAGCAGTTTGCCAAGGCTGGTGACCTATTTAGGTGAGAATCTTGCCCATGTTGTACCTCAGTGGGCTAATGACCCGTTTATACGCGTGCAGACAGGCCCCACTTGTTATGGGGTGCGCGGACAATTCCTTCTCCATTGACGGAAAGATTATATCTTTTCCTCCAGTGCCATTCTTTGTGCCTTACTTGGTTAAGTACATTTTTGCCTCGAAACATTCGGGAGCCTGGAAGTTCACCCCATGTGATATGTTCGGCCGCCCACGGAAACTCGCTTTTTCGAACCCTAAGATATGAATACCGGCGTACCGTTGTCTATTCGATGTTTTCGTGAGTGTCTACCAGAGGAACTGGGTGTATGTGTGTTACGGGGCCACACTATCCACGGGCCCTGACATCATTGGATTCACCTCGGGGACCTTACATCCCCAGATGATTGCCGAAGTGTTAAAGGAATTACCGTGCGGGGGGCTGATTGTTCTTCGGTGCCAATCGGCATCGGATCGGTGTTGAATCGCTATTATTTCCTGTCGGGATATATCCTCCTGCATAATTTTATTATCGAACAGAGCATACACTAAAACAGTGTGGCCAGCGAACCTGCCACAGACTCACGCATCTGTACTCCCAAATTACAATAAACAATTCGCTTTGCTCCAGTGTTGTGATAAGATTAACACTTCAAGCTGATTGGATGCATCCCTTGGAGGTTCAGGATTGCCAACCCGCCATGCAGAACCACGCAGTGACCCTCCATCTAATGCATGGTCTGGAATCGCCATAATGTCCATGGAACCACGCAGAATCATAAGGGAGTTGTGGCGTTCTGGCATGATCGTCCGGCCTCTCGAGGTCTGAATCGTCAAAGTCAGGACTATCAATGAATTCAAGAGCCATACTTTTGTAGAGAGATTCAGCAGCTTTACTCACCCGTATTGCTGCAGGGAGGGGCGAATTTAAGCTGCGCGTCGGCGCCGTATGCCTACTGGGCGGTGTGATAGAGAAGGAGGTGAAGTTGGGCCTACAGGTGTACGATCTCATCGCTTCTTGTGGGAGGGGGGGTGTATTGGAAGATAGTAATACAATTTACTACGCTAAACTACTAACTTGGGGGGAAGTGTCGAATAAGCAATTTGGGTGTGTCGATTTAGCAATACCCGGAGAAACTAGTTATGGATCCTTTGGGTGGAAGGTCCGACGATGCATATCTTCAATGGCAACGCCACGCGGCAAGCGTCAACCGGGAGGCCAACGATCGGCGTCGCCCCACAGAGCGCCCCATGATGGCCAATGTGGAGCGCCTTCCGCTGGCCAAATGGGTCATCTTGGGAAGTCACACGTGGGATGTGGATGACCAGGGATCGTGTGGAACTCAATAACTGTGGGGCGAGGCTATGCAGTGGATTATTGGTTAACTGCTTTGTAAGCCAACCTATAAAAGGGGTGATGCTCTGTGTTAAAAAATAATAGTGCCCTTGCGGCATTTTCCCTTTGTATGATCAAGGCTTTTTAAACATTCATTCCTATGCTATTTGCATCACCTGCTATTGTGTGGCACGACATTATAAGTGTGAGTCTTTAAATCAACTATTATATAAGTATCTACTCTTAGCTAACGAAGTAGGTAAGTCTCTAGAGCCTTTTTTTTCGGCTATTACTTCTAAAGTCAATATTATAAAGCCAATAACTGCCGCCGCCATTATTGTAATTTTAGTATCTCAGGCCCACGCCTTCAATCATGTGTGGTATTGGTGTGGCAAGTCTACTAGACTACTACTACATGCAAGAATGAAGGAAAGCTGTGGAATGGAGTTTATCTGACCTATGACTGCAGACATAAATTAAAATGGGACAACTATCAACAAGCTTATGGAAAGTGGTATCAAAGTATAGATGAGTGGGATGACTGGGAAAAGAAAGGCGGATTCAGAGACTGCTGTCTTGCGGCCAGGAAGGGCGCTTGCTACAGTTATCAAGAGTAGGTAGCCTGCGTGTGATATTAGGATTTACTAGAATTTTATTTTCTTAATACTCTAAAGAGTAAAGAAACTATAGCTAATCTGTTGGTAAGAGCTATAATTCTTACTATTATAACTAGTGTCTATATTGGATATGACTTCTAGGTTAGTCTGCTATGGTTGATCGTTGATCATATCCATGGCCGCCACCGATTTCAACCATTAGCGAATGGTGATCTAATCTATGAGATCACCCGGCTATGAGATCATTCAATATTCGAATGGTCTATGCTAGAAGGAATTATCTATAAATACACCCTTGAAATCACCCTATAGCTAGTAAGAATTAACTAAGGAATTAAGACATTAAGCTAAGATATACTTAGCTATTTTCCTTCTGCTATTCTATTCTATTCTACTACTATTCCTCCTATTCTTCCTATTCTTCCTTTATACTTAGGCAAGCCATCTATTCCCCTTTGCATTCGTGAAATTTCCTTTGTCATTTATATATTATCTATTATATACTATTTCACTATTTTTATTCACAAGGTGTTTATCAGTAATACTAAATAGTAATTAATGGATTATCATAGCTATTAATTATATAACTAGTTAGGTCATAGCAAAAGCAATACCTGATATAAAAGATAAAATATTAGTCTATTTTCTCTATAAAGATATCTTTATTAATTATAGAGCATTCAAAGAACTACTCTTAGATAATAGAACTAACTTTCTATCCTAAGTTATAGTATTATATATTAAAATTCTTAAAGTAAAATATTAAATAATAACTCTAAACCATCCTAGAACCAATAGCAAGAATAAGAATATAAATAGCTTATTAAGAAAGATATTAATAAAATACCTTATGGGTAAACTAATGCATCTATAGGATAAATACCTACCTCTAGCTGTCTTTGCAGCATAAGTGCACATCTATACCTAGATAAAGCTATCATTATTCTATCTTCTCTATGGTGTACACCCATCATTGCCTGGATATCTATAGCTTAATTAACTAACTGCCTAAGATATTAAAACTTAGTTATAATATATTAACTATATATAATCCCTAGCTAATAAGAAGTTATTAGCACATATAATTAAATAGAACTTGATTTAAGACAGTAATATAAAAGAATCTTAACTTATACCTGGTTAATAGGTCCTTATTTAAAATAAATCTCCCCAGAAATTCTAAAGTAAATAGTTTAGTCTATATTAAATTAAATAATTGCACCCACTTAGTATATACACCATTAAGGAACCCAGCAGATACATAGTAGAGAACCTTATTAATAGCTAATAATTAGTAGAAGCTAATATTAATAATAAACTAGAGAAACTATAGATATTAGCTATACTAATATAATAACTATAAAAAGCAGGATTATCAATCCACACACCTATTAAAGTATGAAAAGTGCTTAAAGAGCTTAATGAACCCTTATTCTTATATAATAAACTTTTAAAAATAACTTAAAAGGATTAGGAATCCACTGAATATCTAGAAGTATGTTTAAAGCAGGCAGGGAAGGGTATCTTAATAAAATAATATACTTAATAAATAAGGTTTTAAAAATGCATTAGTGATACACTGATAGGAATTAGCTAACCTATGCACTATTAAAATAAGTTAACTCTAGGAAGTAACTAGAGTAAAATTAACTTAACTTCTTTAGATAATAAGCTAAGTGGGGGAATAATATATAATCTATTAAAGAATAATTAAACCTAAAGAGACGCCAGCGGGGGAGATATAAACTTTAATAGATCTTTTATAGTAGTAATTCTAGCTTATTAGGAGTAATTAGAGAAGGATAAGTTATCTAGTATTATAAGAATATTAAGATAGGAGAAATTATTACCTATTTATTAAAAGCTTAAAATACTCAGGCACTAAAATATACTTATAAAATATGCTAGCTCCTTTTGCATAGTAATTACATTTCTTATCTATTTTAATGCTGCAAGTATAAAGGAGAACTATATTCTAATAAGACTTATTCTTTATATCCTTTATAATATTAATATCATTATGCAAAACCTATTTGATATCCTAGATATACTTGAGGAGAATAACTAATAACTCTTATAGCTTTATTAAGGAAAAGGGAACTTCCTTATATATAGCTATAAGGGCTCTATCATGATTAGGGATAGTAATTACCAGGTTAGAATTAAACTATTTAAACTAATATTTATAAAAGGGATCTAAGAACTCAGAGGGTATATAATAAATAGTATCTATAAGAAGACTATAAAGTATGGCAAGATAATTAATAAATAATAATAACTGAAGTTATTCACTAATTTAAAGGAAAAGTAAATAAGCTAAGGGATATACTATTAAACTATTCTATGTAACTTCTCACGCGTTAAGATGCAGAAAGTTAGGGATATTTATACCTGGGTAATATATGCTAGCAGTAAATACTTACTTATTTACCTATGCTTATTAGTTAATTCTACCTTTATTAATTCATTTATTTACATATACATGTGAATAGTGATATTTACTATAATTCTTTATATACTGCTTAAGGATCACTAATTACTCAGGCAACTTGCTTATTAATATCACTAGGTAAGGTAATCTAATTACATCTCTTACTTACTAAATAAGGAACACACTTAGCCACCATTATGATGATTTTAAAATGAAAGAATAAAGAATGATTTAGTTAATTCTGTGGATAGTTAAGAAAGAATAATATCTAACACTGGATTAGGCAACCCTAGATTTCTTAGTAATAGTCAAAGGATTCAAGACTATATGGCTGCAGCAATGGGTGCTGACTAAGAACTCTATGGATGAAGTTTAATCCAAGTAGGGGAGGATGTGATATTGACCAGTATATATAACTTCAAAGAAGTCTATTAGGTGTGCAATGATATTTGGTAGCTGTCATTATTTATACATAGCTAGTTAGACCTTACATTCCTTCTTAGCTTAGGTCAAAATATAAAAGAAGACTGGAACCCCTCAAAGTTGGCGGGACATGTACGGGGCGGCTGCTGGCCTACCCCCTACCCTTGCACACTTCGAAGGCTCCACGTCCACTGCGAATATGAATATCCCAATATATATAAACCACCACCACTTCTATACTAACCTATGACAGAAATGATTATTCCCTTATATCTCACCAACCACTAAATTTTGAATTGATATTTCATATTTGGATAGACTAGATACTAGGCTATCTAGTGATATTAATATTTCTAGAGAAATCCTAGAAATTAGTAATTACTAAGTAAAATAGTTTCTAGTGGTTTAACTACTGACCCTCTAGATCTGACCCTGACCCGCCCCTAACCCAGTGCGATTTCTCAATCTAGGAACTGAATCGAACCGCTGCAAGTTTGGTGAGGGTTGGATTCGATTTTAGCGGTTCGGTTATGCAACCCTAGTCCATGGCTTCTGGGATAGAAAAGATCAAGACAGGATCCTAAACCTTAATTTACTTTGTAAATTTTCAAAAGATACGGTTCTGGCAGTTCCACTTCTTACGTGGGAGTTCGCAAGGCTCATAGAGTATTAAGATAGGATTATAGCGTTTTTTTCACCTTTCTTCCTTTCTTTACCGCTACTTTCCCCCGGTTCGATCCAACGACTGACAGCTCTTGCTGTCGATCTCCAAATAATCCCTGGAGGATATCTTGGAGCCCAGTACAGATCCTCTACTACTGTGATGAGCCCCTTGCAGTTCGAATTCGGACTCATTTGCTGATCTCTTTGGAAGTCCCCGCCACGACGGCCCAGCGGATCCGGCTCCCGATGCGGCGTACTTGGACCTTTGCCTCTTTCCCTTCAAGAGCCCGTACAGCACGGGAGCATTGGCGACAACAGCGGCCGCGAGTAACTCAATGGACGCCCAAGTCGTTCTGTTGACCTGTGCAGTGGCATTTTTGGCGTTTTGAGGTAACCTAGCGATTGTGATGGCGACGATGAAGAGGCCGACGGTGAAGAGAGCCGCTAGCTGGAATTTTCTGGAAGAGGCATCGCGTTAATGAGGTACATGTGGTGATATAGGTCTGGCCAAGCATACTCGACAGCGGACCGTTTAACCATAACCAAAATTGGGATTGGCATGGCGATAAGCATAACGTCAGTGACGACATTGAGGACGCCTAATGGAGGAAAATACTGTTAGACGTATTATATTGGAACGAACATTCAGGCAAACATACCGAGGACAATTAATTGAAGCTGTGCCTGGCAACACGTGCCTGAATCTGTAAGAAGGTGAAATGGACACGAAAACACCAAGAGGGAGGGAAAAAAGAATACAATAGGGCATACCAGGATCCGGTAATACGATCCAGTAATGGTTGAACGGATCGCACTCCGTGAAGGTCACTATTTGTACAGTTACATATGTCGCAGCGAAAATGCCGATATATGAGATCATCGTGACCTTCTCCCAGCGAAGGTGGGTGTGCAATCTGCGGTAGGTATCAAGTAGAACCAGCTTTTGCAACCAGAGACTAAAAGAAATATGAGAAAAGAACCGGTCAATTCAGCGTTCCATTCGACCCTGGGCGTACTAGGAATTATAGACCACTCTATTGGCGAGGACAAACTTGCTCGCAATCTCTCTGCGACGGATCTCCTCCGGGGTGAAATGGTGCGTATGTCTGAACGTCGCCGCCATATTGTTGGTTCCCCAGATGAGGATAACGTGGACCAAGGCAAGGCGTAGGAGTGCGCAGAAAATGGCGCCCATTGAGAAATAATCGCCGAGGACGAAGTGGGACCTTTTCAACTTTCGCACTAGAAGCCTAGAGGAGATCAAGCCGATTGTCACCCAGGTAAACACCCAGAGAATTATGAGGGTAGAATCCATTGGTTTCGAAGGCAGATGCCCTGGGAGAGCTTCCCCAAGAACAGTAGGGCAAAGGAAAAGAGGCACGAGTCACAGAAACAAACCTTGAGACAAAGAGAACTATGTTATGTTATTAACTGCTGATAATGGGATGGAGGAGGTTTGAGTGGGTCTGCTATGTCAAGCGTTCCAATAACTGATAATTATGGGCTGCATAGCTATTATTAACGCATTACTACTAGAGTATGTAGTGTGATTCAATATGGAATGGGGTCGGAAGGCAATTCCCTACCCAAACATCCCCAAAAAAATCAAAAATCGGGCGGTTCATTTCATTTTTACGAAATTTTGGAGTAGTGAGGTGGGGAACAGTCGAGACTAGAACCGCCTGTAATTCAGCTAAAAGTTTGGTGTTCTACAAAGAGACTTTCTCTAGGATCGCTAGGGAAATGTCTTTGAGCTATAAGGTCCAATAATCGGTCAGAGTGAGGGTCAGGTATACGAAGACATTTCGCCCAAATGCCCGAAGCTCCACGCGCCAAGAACCGCGGAAAAGTTAGTACAGGTTATTATTTTAGCAAATCAGCAGAAATTGCTAGTCTATGATAAAGCCCAGTCCCTGGATCCCCCTTCCATTGTTTAATCAGCAACCCCCTGGCTCGCCGTCGCCATTCTTTCGCAAGCGAGCACGATGCATCTCAAGACGGGATTATTTTTGATCGCCTGGGCAATTGCTGCTACAGCTTCACGAGGCTGGTGCGATGAGGTGCCATCCAAGCGGTCGTACATGTATGTTGGAGGACAATATACTCTGAATAGTGCTGGCCAGCATGTCTTCACGAATCAGATGTACGTGGAAAAACTGACCCCAGCCGCGGGTGTGACCAAACCGTACCCAATCATCTTCATCCATGGGCAAGCTCAAACAGGCACAGTACGTATCGAATAATAGCCCTTCTCGCCTTCCAATAGAGGACGAAGTTAACCCTAATGAGCAGAATTGGCTCAACAAGCCTGATGGAGGGGAAGGCTGGGCCTCTTACTTTCTCTCTCAAGGATATACATGTTATATCATCGACCAAACCTTCCGCGGTCGCAGTGCCTGGTTCCCTGGCAATGGGACGCTGACCACCTATAGCGCCGAGCTGTTGCAGCAGCGCTTTACCGCACCACAGCGATACAACCTCTGGCCGCAGGCGTCCCTGCACACCCAATGGAACGGGACGGGCGTTATTGGTGACCCGATATTCGACACTTACTTCGCTTCGACTGTCGAGTTCCTCAATTCAGCAACCTACCAGCAGTCGACCGTCCAGGCTGCAGGCGCCGCCCTGGTCGACCTCATTGGGTCACCAGTCATCCTCCTCTCCCACTCCCAGGGTGGGCTAATGCCCTGGCTCATTGCGGATGTGCGCCCGAATCTGGTCCACTCAATCGTCTCGATCGAACCAAGCGGCCCTCCCTTCCAGGAGGCCGTGTTTAGCAATACCTCCGCGCGCCCCTACGGGCTTACCGATAGCCCCCTCACCTTCTTACCCGCCGTGACCAATCCGGTCACTGATCTCGTGAAGCAGGTGATTCCTTCCAACTCGTCCCTCTACTCTGAATGTGTTATCCAAGCCGATTCACCTGCGCCGAGACAGCTGGTCAACCTCGCCCATGTGCCAGTCCTGGTCGTGACGACCGAATCGTCTTACCATGCGCCGTATGACTGGTGCACAGTTAAGTTCTTGCAACAGGCAGGCGTGCCGGCGCAACACCTCAAGCTGGCGGATATCGGCATCCACGGAAATGGACATATGGTTTTCCTGGAGAAGAATAGTTTGCAAGTTGCGGCTGTTTTGAAGCACTGGATAGAGCGTACGTGATTAGCGGAATGAAGAGCTCTGTCTGTCTCAGTCATCTTCCATCGTTCCCCCCACCTGGGCTACAGCACAAGGTTGTGGAAAGGGTAGTCATTTATTGTCTCTCCTCATACTAGGCGATTATGTAATCACTGTTCGTCAGGAAAGCCATCATCAAGCATCTGTACGATCACTGTACTGACCACTCAAGTATCAAGATAATCAAAATTGCTGTCAATTGCTGTCATTTCGTTGCGAACTTTGCTAGTAAGAGTATCTTCAATCTGGGTCAATGTGCGATCAGAACGTAGCTCTTTCATGGCCTGCTAGTACGCGGTGGACTATCGCCTCGGCCAGATCGAGCTGGCCCTGGTCTCGTATAGAAGGCCAAAATAGACTAAACAGTTGACAGTAACAAAGGTCGATTTGTGGTGGGCCTAATATCTTTACTTTGCCTGCAAATGCGCGCTGGTACCTGAACTTGGCCACCACCGCCATCTCCAGTGAGACAAATTCCCGTCGCATCGATCGCCCAATTGAATCTCGATAATCCATCGCTACCAATCAAGTAACAGATTTCTTTGAGCACTTGAATACCAAAGTTGCCAATCCACCAGTGTCCACGCGAATGAAATAGGACCACACAGTAGTGGGCAAGGATAGTCAGTGCCATAGGCTGACGTTCTGTTACCAGATCAAAAAAACCAGCTGGAATACCAAGAATCCACGAATATTCAACAATTCCAGGACTGCTGCCCCATGCTATGTAACTCAGACATGAGGCCAGCTGGTCAATTGTTTGGCTATAGATGCTCTCTGTTTGCTGGGACACTGATCCCAGGTTATCATGCTGCGCATTAGCATTTCTCAGTGTAAGGATTGCCACTGTGTGTTGAGCATCATTGGCTCTGCTTCTGTCGCTGGCATCCCCCCCTCCCAGAGTCGGTCAATGAGGCTAATCAGAACCTCTGTCGACCGCCCCATCCGGTAGAATATCCAGCACAGGTTATCCAAAGCTGATGCAGATAATGATGATCTGACCAGCTTGGTATGTGGAAATTGAAAAACCATCAGAATGCTGCATAGTGCAAATAACACATTGCGCTTGGAAGATTCACTGGAATGGTCAACTTCGTTGTCAAACCCAGCGCGCGCCTTGGTCCAATGCGTGTGCGCTGCATTCAGAAAATTCATTCATTTTAGGCTGTCCGCCCACTTTGGTGGGCAAGCTGAAGAGCTGATAAGGCAAGAATGCTCTCCAAGAGTGCAGCATGGAGTAATGCGTCCCTCGGCATCTCTCCCGTCTTTTGTAAATGATTTTATAGGTCGTCGAAAACCAGTTGGAGAATAGCTTCAGATCATCTGAGCTGAGATTGTGGGATTCGAAGTTCAGAACGTTCAAGCCTGGACTAGCGGGAGCAGATATCTTTTCGAATGTCTCTAAGGCGTGTGTGATGATGACGCTGCTTTTAATGACCATGTTTCCGACGATTGTGGAGATGTTCTCCAATAGAAGAGACACTTGGTCACCTTGCTAGGATTGTCATTTGTTGGATCGGCAATGGAGCGTGCAGTCGCCTAAGGTCCAGATAGGAAGAATCGATCCACTAGTGCGAGGATGAAGAACTTCTCTTAATATGCCGTTGGAGGTGAGATCCTTCCTGCTTCATAGCGATTGGCTGATGGAGAAACTGTCAAGCTTCCAGGTCGCATAATTATCTAATGGATCTGATGGTTGTTGCATAGCAAGGCTCATCAGGCAGGCGATTTTGCCATCTTATCCGCAACCCCAAACGAACTAAGGCGTCGTTACATATTGTACATATCTGAGGGAATCAGACCCCTTCGAATTACAGTGACTGCAAGATTGAGAAAATTCAAAACCGTATAAAAAATCGAAAAAAGAAAGTAACAAGAGAAGATTCTGTCAATGATTCTGCTTTAGAAAATAAATCTGATTTGGTATGTCCAGCCCGAATTTGTAGAAATCCTTAATTGAAATGACTACGGCCAGTCTCACCACAGCACTACTATGAGTATGTTACATCACAGCGACTTGTGGAGTGTATGATCCACTTGGCGCTAAATATGCTTTCTTGGTTGGAGAAATGAAGAGAATACGAAACACCGAGTGTTCCGATAGCTACAAGTCTTTCCTCATTTGGGAAAATACTCGAAGAGCGTCGGCCAGCCGGGTATTTGCGCTGCCTGATGCAACTTACTTTGGATAAAGCCTATAATACCACAGATTCCTCGTAAGTGGCCCGATGGGGGAAAGGCGATGTGCTGGGCCACTGCCCTCGTTTCGACGCGCGTGAGACGAAAGACAATTGCCGATACTACTCTCACCATCAAAGGTCACTCTGAGCGCGAGTCGATGCCCGATGCCCGATATCCAAAAATCCAGAGCAGTCGTGGTGCTCTGAGCGCTTAGTTGGCGACTTCAGACGGTCATTTCGCTTTCCCGGTCCAGTGCGAACATATTGATGCACTTTGAAGGATGGTGTTGTCTATCAATGTCCCCAAAACTGGGAACTCCATTGTGAGCGGGCGCATCGACGTTAAGTAAACGGTCGTGCAAAGTATACCGTCTTCTGAGTCACATACGACACTGGGTAGGTCCATCGAGGGTTGCCGTTTGACTAGCGGAATCATTTTTTCCTTGTTCAGCATCGCTGGGAAAGGATTAGGCCTTAGTTCCTCGGCGATACTGGAGAGAATGTAGAGATTAATTCTGCTACAACACTTACGTATTTAGCTGCGAGATATATCCTCGAAAAGGTCTGCACGACGGTAACTACTTCACAGCTATTATGGAATGGACGTTATGAACGATCTCTTTCGGTACGTAGGTAGCTGTCGTAATTATTGGAATCACATTCTGTAACGGCTTCAGGGTAAGATCCCTATTTATGAAAAGGCGCGAAAGGCGTAACTTTTTTGGTGATATACTATGACAAGGTCCCGCTATTACTGCTGGGGTTACGTCGTTCATATTAGCCATTGGATTCGACAGAGTCCTATAGGGACGGGACTAGCGACGTTTTGAAGTCCAGG